AGCTCTTCCTGGGAAAGCCAGCTCCTATGCTTCTCTCAGATTCTGCAGAGTCCTCTTTGCATAGACTTCCCTAGTCTCTCCTTTGCATCGTTACGACTTTACATGGAGGGGCGTTAGAAAAGCAGACTAATGGGAGTGCGTGGAGCTGTGTGACATCATCACCAGTTCAGAACAGAGGAAGTATTCAAGAGCTGATCACCAGGAGCTGAACTAGAAAGTCACAGTTCCCCTGAACGTCATGGCAGTTCTGCGGGAGGCACTTGAAATATCCCGTATGACACATGACAGCCCCTATTGCGAAGAATTATCTGGTCCAAATGTGCACTCACAGAGAAACCCTGGTGTAAATGTTTGCTTTGATGAGACTAGGATTTGTAACTTTTATTAGAGTCTCAGAGAGATCTAAGAATCCATAAAGTTTAGGGATTATTAGCAAAGGGACTGAAAACAAGACTCCAGAGTGACCCAGACCTGGTTCAGATCTTCTCACAGAACATGACTAGTAACAATTCATTCAACCCCTCAATTTCTTTTTAAAAAGTACTGTTATCATAAGGTTTCAATTAGCTCATGCATTGAGAGAGTTTAAGCATAGTGACTACATTGTAGAAGCTTATTAGGTGTTTTATTAATATTTTAGTACGCTTAATCATCTCTAGAAATGTGATTTTTGGAATCAAAATAACACAGTAGGAGCTCATACACATCCTCATCTGTTGGCAGAGACCATTCATTTATTTCCTTGCCACTCAGACTTGAAATAATCACACAGAAACTATATTATTTATAACACGTCTTGGCCTATAGCTTAAGCTCATATCTAGCTAGCTCTTACATCTTAAATTAACCCATTTCTGTTATTTTATATTTTACCACAATGCTCAGTCTCCTTCAGTGGCGGCAACATGGCATCTCACTGGTTGCACCTCCTCTCTCTCTACATCTCTATTTCAATTTCCCAACTGGCTTTACTCTGTTGAGCCACTGGGCAAAATTAGTTTTATTCATTAACCAATGAAAGCAACACATTGACCGAAGGACTTCCCACACCACTCATCACTGGAGGGTTAAGGCAGGATTGCTGAGTCTGAGGCCAGCCTGGATTATATAGTAAGTTCCATAGTGAGGCCAGCCTGTTCTACAAGATGAGATCTTGTCTTAGAAAATTAAAGAGATGAGAGATAAGAAGAGTTGGCCATGCTAAGACCCTTTTGAAATCATTTACTATAACCAATCCTCTATCTTTACATCCTTATATAGTAGGAAGGTCATTGAAAGAAATGATTAGCAGAGGCCACTCAAAAGGCTTCCACAGAGACTCTGCAGAAGGCAGGCGTGTTGCTAATGCTCCTGGTCTCTGAGCCCTTGACCCTTCCGTTTATGATAAGTAGTTAGGACTGATGCCTTTCTAAGCCATCCCAGGCACAGATAAGAGAGTAACTTATAACTCATCTAGGCTTTTCATGTCTCCACTAAAGTACCCCGAGTAAGTCGCTGGTACTTGTTATTCCCATTTTCTTACTCCCTCAGCATTGCTTTGCCAAAGCTAAGGACTGGGTCTTTTTGCTTAGGGTTCTACTGACCGTAATATAGGAAAGATTTCCTTTGTCTCTAAAATTGTTTATTTATGATTGTTACTGTTATTATACAACACATGTATGTATGATGTCTGTATATGTAAGCATACATGCGATGACACACATGTAGAGGTCAGAGGACAACTTTGTGCAGTTAGTTCCTTTATGTGGGTTCCAGGAACTGAACTCATGTCACCAGGATTACATGGCAAGTGTTCTTACCATCTTAGCCATCTTGCAAACCCAAGTTTTATTCCTCTGGAAATGTTTTAGCATGACCCAGATTGTGATGAAGTAGACATGCTAAAATTACTAAGTAACATCTTTGGATATTTGTATTCACTTATATAAAGTTGTATGTTTTAACTCACATGACCAAATATCTATCTGAACATAATAGTAGCAGAAAAATGTCATAGAAAACTAATCCCCTTGGTGAAAATCATTTCAAAGTGAAAAGATATACATAATTTTCAGGAGTATTTTGGATTTGAGTAACAAGTTCTGTGTTCAAGCAACTTCACTTGAGATGATGTCTTTAGATAATGTAGTTAGGAAGCAGATCTTTCTTTTTCCTCCAGTTTGCTCCCATGCTTGGGCATCTCCTATACTTTCCTGCATGCATGTGCCAGGTATTTGCCCAGATTTCAAACACTGCTCTCGTCCAGCAGACACCTACAGAGTATTTTCTCCCCAGTTTTGAAAGGCTTTTCTTGAAGCAATACCCCTCTGCAAATAAGTAAATATAATTCACATGCCTGGGAAATACTAGTGAATTCAAGACTTGGACTGTTCTGTTCTTTTTTTTTTTCAACTTTGACTTAACCAGCTGAGCCAGTCGTAATATATATGGAAGCACCTTGTCTTACTTGGTGTTAGATAAACGATGCCTCTTCTTCCGGGAGCATTATATTCTCCGTCTGTAAATGGGAGAGGTTGGACCAGATGACCTCTGAGGACCTTTCTAAGCTTGAAGCTCTGTGATGGTATTCTAAATGTCAAGACAATGTGGTCTTCCTGGCATTGCCATTAATGAAATTACCCGTCATTTATCTTATGAACAAGAAGCACACACCAATAGCAAGAGGACAGCCACTCCTACAAACAAGAGTGTGTGCATTTTTATTGTGACCACAACTCTAGGGACATATGTGATAAATGTGAATGTCTCAACAACAACAACAGCAAATTCCAGGGGCCCTGGGGTGAGTCGGCTGACCTGTCTTTTGTTTTGGACTTGAATATATTAAACATATCCTACTTGATGCCTGAAACCTAGAATGCAACTAGAAATAGGTTTGTGTTAATAGCTGTTGGTTAGCTTTTCTATACAACTGTTTTCTTCTCGCATCTTCCCAGTCATTAAATTATTTCTCAGTTGACCTCTACAGATTTTAACACGGCTCATTTCCGGGTAACAGTGCCAGTGTCCAGATCCAACCCTTCTCCTTCTTCCTCAACTTTAAAATTTGCACGTCAGCTTCCAGCTACATTAGGAGAATTTCAGTGACAAGATCAGCCCAGTGGTCCTCCTCACCATTTCACAGAGGCTTAATCCTATTCCTTGTGTGCCTAATTCACAATTGGATAGCGGAAAGAGGCAATTTCTTTTTTGGTTAATTAGGGGAAAGGTTAAGTGAAGTTCCGAAGCCAGAGGGAGAGACATTAAGTTCCCATGAGACAGGCCTTGTAACAGTTTGTATCTGATCTTACACACTCTAGTGATCCCATTGCCTTGCCATCTCAGTGCTCTTCCTGAGTGAGCCTGTACTCCTTTGGGTGGCCTCTGCAGTCCTGTGTTGCCAAGACTCCATCCACCAGGTGATGTGTAGGACATCTCTAAATGCTCTCTAGACCAACAGCTGTCACTTTGTCTCTTTCCCTGTTCCTTAGGGAACAGTTCCTCCAGCCATCTGCCCATGTATTTGTCCAAGCCTATCAAACACCCCACGGGTTTTCTCTCCGGGGCTCAATGACTAGCTTCCAGCCTATACTGTGTGTCTGTTTTGGTCATTTCTCAGGGAGTTTTTTTCTTCCTTTTTTCAGCTTTGCATTATATTCTCTTCATTTGAACTTCTATCCCAGTTAACCTTTTACTGCAAGGATTTTTTTTTTGCATTTAGTTAAGCACTGCACAACTATACTGAGGCCATGAAGTGAAAGGGGCTGAAGGGCCAAAGTTCACAAAACTAAGCTTGCGTGAGTTTCATCCAATGTACTATAGTGACCTAGGCAAATTAGAATTAGATTTCACGATTCTGATTACTTTGTGGAAAATTTTATAAAAACACGAATCTCCTTAACTTGGGTCTGTGAGCATCGCAGGAGGCAGATATGGAAGAAGTCGCTGGGAAAGTAAAGAACTGTGCATACCCAGTTCTATTTTTGTGAAATGTATTATCATTAGCAGCAGGACAAGATTCCCAGTTATATTTGAACCTGACTTTCTGCATGTCAAGTAGCATAGGACAGTTTCCACTCAGTGGTCCATAAACGCTGTAAACACCGTTCTCCCCAGGAGGGGATGCACTATGGTCTGCCCAGAGGGGCTTCCCGAAGAGCTGCTCTCCCAGTTTACCAGCCACTGATGGAGACCTCACTGACAGAAGGCTTCTGGCCGAAGGTGACTTCCGAATGAAGAAGAGTGGGTAGAAGAGTGAGGCTGACTCTCCACACATGAGGTTCCTGGAACTTTAATAGTAAATGGCTTCTCTTCTAGGAGGGCTAGATGAAAACGTTTATTAGCTGGAACATCCCGGGGAAAGGTCTAGGAATCCCTCCCTTTGTCAAGCTTTCCTGCCAGAGGTATTAGGACAATTTGGTCCTTCACTGCACACATCTGTGTTCTTCTGATGTGTTGATGAGTCAGTCTGTGCTTGAGGTAGAGACAATTATATGAGGAACCTGTTCTCGCCATTCAGTAGGCTAGCAGTGATAGCTAGGAGAGGCACTCTGCTGTCGAGCGCACAGCTTTTAAGCACGTCTTTCCATGCCTGAAAATGCAAACCCTCCTTGTGGGAGATAGCTACTGCCTTTGTTTCCTAACCCGGGTTCCTCGAGTCCCCATAGGGTATTTACCAAAACAAACCGCAGAAGCGTGCTAGATTCGTATGTTTGCCAGACAGAGCTTTAGATAAAAAAAAAAAAATATCAGACATGTCTAAATTATTGCAGCTCAGAACTCTGATTTCTTTTTAATACATTTTATTGATATTTATTGAGCTCTACAATTCTCTCTGCTCTAAGACTTCTAAAAATAACTCCTTTCACACAAATCACGATCGTTCGTATTTGTGACTGCTCGACTAGCTCCAGAACCGCTTCCACTGTGACTCTCTCTCCTTCGCACTTGAACTTTTCCTCCCACCAGCTACCTGTCTTCACCAGGCTTTCTTGTCTTGTGCTGATTCCCCTCTGCCCCAGGATGGCCGACTGCGAGTGAATGACCAACTCGTTGCTGTGAATGGGGAATCTCTTCTGGGCAAGTCCAACCATGAAGCCATGGAAACCCTGAGGAGGTCCATGTCCATGGAAGGAAACATCCGAGGCATGATCCAGTTGGTGATACTGAGGAGGCCCGAGAGACCACAGGAGGTGAGACCATTCTTGACTTTCCTGAGACGGCTCCAATGGTCACCAGAATATGCAGACTCAATCACACATGTGGTAGGTTTACATTTGTTGAGTCTGTCCTTGGGAAAGTATGCCCCAGACATACTCAGATGGATATATTAAAGAAACAGGTGGTTGTATATTTTAGATATAATAAAAATGTATGAAATATGCATATAAAGTAAATCATTTATCAAATATCACCAGTCTGTGTTTACTAGGGCTTATGTTCAGAAATTCCTAGGGGTTCTGAACTTATTAAAAAAGCATCCTTCTTAATACAACTTTTGGTGGTATGCTAGCAATGCCTGTACCTTAGGAAGTTCCTGGTCAGATGGACATATACAGTGTTTATTGTGAAGATTATTATGATATAATTAAATATCTATATTCTCCCCTATAATCTACACATAGCTAATACAGTCCTGAGGTATAACTAAGTTAAAGTTTGATCTGTTGAGCATTTTATTTTATTAAAAAATGGAAATCTTATTTCTTTTTTAATAATTGATTGTGCTTTTTAAAAGAATGGAAAATGCCCCCTTAAATATGACTTTAATATAAAATAATATAGTATAAAAAGCGTATAAAATAATTCTTAAATGCTGATATACCCAAACATTTCATTTACACAAAATTATAAACAAAGCTGATCTTAAAACAGTGTTTTAAAAGATTAAGTATTAAATGTTCCTAACAATTACTTCAGGAAAAATGAGTCGGTTCATACAAATTGGCAAACTATCATCACATTTATACGTCATGATATTAGGACAGTATCTAAGGCCAAAGTCTGTTTCTCTGTTACACTTGTATATAAAGTAGGAGATGAACTACTTGGAAAACTGATATCAAACATTAGTGTTAGTAGTAAGTTCAACCAAATTTTAAAAATGAAAGATTATCAAAATGAAATATCATTCAGTGGGTCTCCTTGTGTTATATGCAGATTACTTGTGCTAAAACCCTCAATTTGCTGTTTCCCAACCATGAAAATACACCGCTAATGTAAGCGCTTGATGTATAGAAGACAGATACTGGTACCTGTTTTATCCACCGTTAGAGCTTCATTTCTCCAAATGTGATCGGCTCCCAGCAAATGTTGCTAAATGGATGGAAAGGCTGCATCTGAGACCCACTTTACCTGACAGGGTGGTCTTGAAATAGTGAAGTGATATACCATCTCTTCCTTCGCTATATTATCAACTATTGGGAGAGAATAACTGTACCTCCTATACTCTTTGTGTATAACCTTGTAGATGTTAAAGAAATGTAAATTGGCCAATTACTGAGGACTATATATAATGAATGAGCTTGTTTTCCACACGTGTGTCTACCTAAGTGACAGAGTCTTCATGAATATTTAATGGGCTTCACTTGTGTACATAGTTTGAATGCCCTCATCTACTGCTTCCTAACACGAGAAAAGAGCCTGTCTGGTGTTCTCTGGTCCTTCCTATAGAGTCCTGGGATTGGAGAGAGATGTGAAGAAGGGAATCCGGGAGGACTCAGTCACCCCTTCTTATGTAATCTGTGTACGACAGCTTCCTTTAGCAGCCCCTTCCATTCTTCTCCCTTAGCTGAGGCACCTTTGTTAAAGGAACTCTTAGAGAGACACAGTCATGCAGAGGCCAAACTAAGCAAAAAGGGAAAAGAATGAGTATGTCTTTAATAGACTAGTGGTATCGCTACCTTTCCTCTTCCCCCATTCCACGTCTGGATGTGAATGGCAGTGGTGGAAGCGACACCCTGGCCATGGAGCTGGGGTTCTTTGCCGTCAGCACTTTTCTTTACTGTGGTGTCTCCGTCTTTAATTCCATAGTCCAGAGTGGAATGCGGTCAGCATTATCCCATCCGAAGAAAGTATCACCTTTCAGTTCATTCCCAGCCTCAGATGTGTCTTGTTAATATAGTTCACCAGGGAATCGATCAGGAATAGGAACTACTGTTACAAGAAGCAATTTTTATGAGGACATTTAAACAAGGATCCATTTTCTTGCCACAATATTTACATGCTTTCCATGGGAAATGAGCAGGCGTTTGGACTCTGAGCTATAGAGAATCATTGTGGTAGCCATGAAGATTAAAGGGTCTCAAAGTCAGAAGCCTAATGCATAGCTTATCTTTATTAATTAAAAAAAAATCAGCTATGAGAGCTCCCGGATCAGCCTGACCGTGTCGTGTGTTTGCTGTGCACAGTGTGTGCTGTGCACAGTGGCTTCCCTTCTATTCTCCCAAAGAACAGCAAGTACCTCCTGGTCCATAGAAAAGCACCCATAACCCAGAGGAGTTTTAAGCACTGCTCACACATCAGGGCAAATCAATTAGTTAGATTTGGCAAGAATGCCAGCATAATTGCTGGAACATTATACCAATATTGAAAAGAAATGAAGATGCTACTTAAGAAAAGTCAAAATATAAAGTTGTTATTTTTCCCCCACATTACCCAGTTGTACAAGATAGGTAAACAGTTTTGATGAGAACCTCAGGAAGAATACATAATGAGCTCTTGATTGAATCAGAATCATTTCGAACAGAAGCGTGTTTTTCCAAGGATGAGCTTCAGGTTGAATTGTGAGTCTGTTTGTGCCTAGAGACTTGATATTTAAAAATGGGTTATGACCTGGTTTTGTTTTTCTCTTTCCTAAAACATTTTCCTCCCTGCTGCAGCTCATCTTCACAGAGGCAGAACATGTTTAAAAATCCATTATATTTTTTATTGGCTGGGACACTAATGGAGGCCTCCACGACAGCTCTGTTTTACAGGCTGGATGCTTTAATTAGGCTGCTTACTGATCAGTTGTTGGGATATTGATTGTGTCATTTATCAAAGAGCTAGGAAAGCAGAAAAAAAATTGTTTTTGTTCTCGTTGTTCTTGTGAAGTGAAAACACAAGGCAGTGCAAGGCGAGCCCTACATCTACCTGACTGCTGGGGCTCCAGCGTTAAGCTAGGACTCACTGGTCACCTATACCTGCACAACAGCAGCCAAGGGTAACATGGTTATGTGTGAGAGTACTGTGTTAGGAACCCTCCTGAAAAGCTAATAGCCTTCTGCAGCTGAAAACATTTTAATTATTTAGGATACAGAATAGAAGCAAATGATTCAAATATTTTGTTTAGCTAGACACTGTCTTTCTTTCTTTCTTTCTTTCTTTCTTTCTTTCTTTCTTTCTTTCTTTCTTTCTTTCTTTCTTTCTTGTAACTAAAGAGGACAAAGTAGAATCAAATGCATTGTGTTTCAGCCAAATGCTTTCCGGAGGAGGGAGTCGGGGAGTAGCTCTGTGTTTACGGCATGTGCCTCTCACAAATGGCCAAGAGAAAAGCTATGAAATGGCTTCCAAATCATTTATTTCCCTGAAATCTGTTAGGGAGGCGAATAATAGGAACAAGAGCGAAAGACAGCCTGCTATGCCACAGTCCCCTTGAAAACCTGAGTTCTCTGTCGTCAGCTACCTCCTGCTACCTCTGCAGCACCTGCGGAGGATGGTTTGTGGGGTGTTATTCTGGAGCAGCAGTTTGCAGGGAACTGTGGGTTTGTTTACAGACTGTCAGAATCTGAACAGGAAAGAGAAATATAGAAGAAAAAAAAAGGCTCTTGGGAGAACCGCTGCCTGGCCCTGCCATAGATCTTTACTTTAGCATCCGGCCAAAGCCTGGGGTCTGCAATAGGATGCAATCTTGGCTTTCTGGTGACAAACACTGCTTGCGTACCGATTTGTCCTAGAGCATATGCACTGGCTGAGGGAGAAAGAGCGGCAGAGGGAGAGAGGAACCAGCTGGTTGGCAGAGAAACACCCTTGGCATGAACTGCGTTCTCATATTGACACTGCCACAAGCTGTACCCCCAGATGGAAGAGAATTGGAAAGAAGGCAGTTGTAAGTGGGGGGAAAGAATAATAAAGTTAATCCTCTTTTGTGTCGGCTATCAGCACTCATAATCCTTAACACTACATTGTCCGTGCTCTTTGTTTCATATTGAAAGACGTTTGGAATTCAGGGCCGTTTCATGAATGAAGATGTCCCTGCCTGAGACTCGAAGGGGGCTTCTGACGAGGACCATCCACGCTTGCACTCCGCTTCGACTGTCCAAGTTGAAATGTACTCTTAAAATGTAATTTTTGTTTCTGTCCCTAGGAGCCTACAGACTGTGGGGTGCTTTCCAGACCAAGTTTTGAGAACTGTCAAGAAGCTCTGAGCACCTCCAGGCGAAATGATGGTAGTCCATTGTATCCGTTTGGCACTTACAGTCCACAAAATAGAAGGAAAGGTAAGGTCTCTCCATTTCCATTCTCTTCGAATAGGGCACAAAGCCACAAAAAAAAAAAAACGGCTTTTTACTAGAAGAGAGAAAGGTATCAGGGACAAAGACAAGTTCATTAGGCAAAGTGCAGACTCTGTCACTCAGAGTCAGGCGAACTGAGGGGTGGGTGAGAGTGTTGACTCAGAACTTGTGAATCAGATTCCTGGCAAGGCTTCCAGTTTAAGTGACAGTTTCTGTGCTTGCTGCCCCAAACATGAGGATTTTGTTTAAAACAAACCATGGCTGGAGAATCAAAGATGGCAAGCTGTGAGTTTTTTGAAGATCATTTTTATCATTTGAAAGTTACCAAGCCCTCTTCAAAACCGCACGGATTTACACGACACCACGACGTGGCCGAGATGTGACTCACAGCCTTGTGCTTGGGTCCCAGATGAATGTGACAAGTAGCGGAACAGCACAGCTTGAGGCCAGACGTGGCAGCTGGACTGTGGTCCTCTGATGACACACTCTCTTATGACTGGAATGGATCACATTGCAAGTGGACTGCTGGATTTTCTTCATTGTTCTTTCAAGCTTACACCACAGGTCACCCAGAAACTTGTTTTATCCCCCTCTTTCTTCTTTCTTTTAATAGCTTTTACTTTTTTATATTGCAAAAGCAATACATACATATTCATTGTAAGAATTTTAGAGGAAAGCATTAAAAAGAAAATTTAATATTACTCATTCCTCTATCCATCATGGCTCCTAATCAATAACATTTTATGTAGATCTTTCAGATATTCTTTTCATGCAAATATGTATGCATAAAATGCAAGTAAAATGAAATTTAATAGGTAATTTCTAAGATTTTTTTCCCTCAATTTATAGCACATGATGAACATACTACATATCACTGAACATTCTACAGCCTCATATGCAGTGGTTGCAATTAACATTCTACCATCGATCCTGTGTTTTTAGACACATAAGATGTCACCAAACTATAACGGCACAGGAACAAATCCCAAACTCTGATGTTATTCTATCAGAATGAACTTGTGAATCTGAGATTGTCTGAGCATTAGACCGTTTCATCTGAATGAGATGTTGCAGGGAGTGAGGCGGGCAGGGATACCTCTGCAAGGTTTCTATTTCAAGTATCTGCTGTTTGTTAGATATATTGTTAAGCAATTTACATTCAAATTCAAAGTGTGTCATATTATTAGCCTCATTTTACAGGTGGAGATATAGAAGGTCTGGGAGCATAAATAATTTACCCAACACTATGCATATTTGATAAACCCGGAGCCTGGCTTCAATTCCTGTCCCTGGCTTTAGTTCATCTCAACCATGGCAAAGTCCTTACCTTCTCTTGTTCCCTCGGAACATGGAAGTCTTTCTACCTGATCCTAAGAATGTCTATGAAATGCTAACTTTACATTGTAACCAGATAAAAAGAATTACTCAGTCTGTCTTGGCTTACTTTAAGTAAACTGGACAGATATTGAGACTTTCACTTCTACTGTCCACAAAGCAGGGGAGGAAGAGACTTTCTTTGTAGAGCACAGAAACATCCTTAGAACTCTTAACTCTTTATGCTTTCTATCTGGGTTGAAAAAATTGAGTTCTTTGGTTACAGCAACGACAGATAATCTCTGGGAAGATTTTTCTATGTTCTAGTCCTTCTCAAACATAGATGCAGACAGAGCGGCTTTCATGCCAATGAGAAGGAAACAGCAGCAGCAACGACAAAGTCACTAAAACCCACTGCCAGGTGCCTGCCTCATTTCCTACCTTGGCTTTCCACATTGTGTGAAAATCCCAGGTCTTTTAAGACCGTTCCTATCTGCACTAGAAAATTCCTGGTCATGTCCACTGTGGAGTAGTGTGGTACTGTTAAGAGAGTAACCGAGATTGGCTACGTCATTGCCATAAGCCTCTTAGGCAACTAACCATCGTCTGCCTGAAGGAAATAAAGTCTGCCTGTTATCAGATCCCGGGGTGTCTTTACCATGCCAGCTTCGCGTAGCATGGACTCATGGCAGTTTCAGTTAGAGGCCAGCTAATAAGCTTACTATTCGTGTAAGCCAACTGACTTAGAGGTTTTATGAAGATTCTAAAATTAAAATACTGTCATCTCCTGCACTCATCATGGCCATTGCTTCTCTTCAAGTCTTCACATTTTGCACTTTGAGAAATTCCAAGAGTCCCTGAGTTTCAGAGCCAGTGAAGTTGCTACATGACAGAGACTTGTGAACTGTGATAGGGGTTAACTGACTTAAAAGGGCCTCGTTTAGCAGAACAAGGTTTATTTGACACAATGTAATGCCTAGTAAGGAGAGAAGCTGGGACAGCCAAAACATCAACTGGCCTCCTTCCCCTTTTTCTTTTCTTGTGTGTGTAAGGCTCCGTGTTGACATACTGGGCTCCATCCCATTCTGAATGGCAGTACATACTGCCCACAGTTTGCTCTACATTTTATTCTTTATTCTCTTCAAGCTGTTACACAGAAAAGAATTTTTAGAATAACATTTGTAAAATAGGAACAGCAGAAAATTCAGATTTGTTTTGGGAAATTGTTAGCTGGGCCTCCTGAGGAGGAAGTGTGGTGCTCCGGGATAGCAGCTGGAGGGAGGCTGTGTCCCTGGGGCTTTCTGTAAGCTGCTTAGGCCACTGGCCAGTCTTGACAGGTGCACCAGCTCTGGGATTCATGCTGATGGAGGAAGTCTCAGCACAGCCACCTCTAGTCTGACCCTTCTCCCCTTGCCCTCCACTCCTTCATCTGCCTGCATTGTCTCCGCTTCTGGCTTGGGTAACAGCTCAGGTGAGCCACTGCCCACATCCTTCTCGTCATCCACTGTTAGGTCTTCCCTCCCTACTTCAAATCCAATATTTCCACTTTGGGCCCTGCCCCACTATATCCATGTTCTCTGCGGGGTTTTGAAGAAATAATAAAATTGCCCTCGTGTTTGTATTTGTGGGGCTCAGAGTCCATCCAGCGCTGCATCCATAGCAGGAGGCCCTCTGCAGTGATGACTGGACATTGAATTCTCCTTCTCAGTTTGGCTAGTGTGGATTGACATTTTTATGTTATCAGATACCATCAGGAAGGCAGGCGTGTGTACAGTGCTGCGGCACTGTTATTGCCCTTAAGAAGAGTCTGAAGCGGGGTCATCAAGCTCTTTTGACTTGGCCATCATAGTGCAGAAACAACTACAATAAGTGTGCAAATAAGGGAGTGTGGCTATTTTCAACAACATTTTATTTAAAGGACAAATACTGAGCTAATTTCAGACCAGGGCCATAGCTTTCTTATCCTGTTTAAGGCCATGATTTTATTTATTTTTTTTATCCATCTCTCTGCTATTCTTGACTATATGGACTCCACAAGACAAAAACATAATATGGTAATTAAAGAGGGACATTTAACCAACAATAACTTAGGGACTAGAAAATATATTATCAGCATTCACAGGGATGTGTGTGGGTGCCTGTGTATTAGGAATGTACTCATATAGTCAGTTAATCCAGAAACATAATTTGTGTGAGATTAGAATTCTATGCTTGTTCACCTGTGCAGAGCTTAACAAAGGTGTCAGGGTCAAGAGAAGAAAGTTCAACAGAGCATGTTGTACACAGAGCCACACTAACATGATGTTGGCCTCTGCTCCCATCACCACACTGAGGAAAACAGCTAGACCCTAGGAATACAATAAAAATGAAAATGATGGCTATAATAAGACTATAACAATTCTGAAAGAGACAAAATAGAAGACAAAGAAGAAGTTACCTTCAGTCTAGTTAGAAAACTGTGGATGAATAGATTACAGCTTGCTAGCTCAACATATAGCTGTCTTCACAAAAATGGAACTGGATAGATGCGATGCAGGACTTACTTTATGTCGCTAATGCACAGAACTAAACATTGACAGGTGTCGTGGGAGCTGCGGGCTGTGTTCCTGCCTCCCTGCTTCCAGCCCCCTTGGCTAGCTTAAAAATAACAACACACAAATGTGTTCTTTTAAACACTGCTTGGCCCATTATATCTAGCCTCTTCTCGGCTAACTCTCGCACCTGGACTAGCCCATTTCTACTAATGTGTGTAGCACCAAGGTGCTCTTACTGGGAAGATTCTAGCCTATGTCCATCCTGGGTCGGAGCTTCATCGCATCTGCCCCAGAGAGCAGCTCATGGCGTCTGAGCTCACTTCCTCTTCCTCCCAGCATTCTGTTCTGTTTACTCCACCCACCTATGTTCTAACCTATGAGGGCCAGGCAGTTTCTTTATTACTTAACCAATGAAATCAACAGATTGCTATATGACACTCCCACATCAGACAGGTAAAGACAGATGTCATAGATGTGACAACTTGATGGAAGAAGAATGTTCTGTAGTCAATGAAGTCCAGACAGAGGCTCAGTCTAACAACTTATCAATAGGCTTTCAGGAGCCATTTAGGGAAAATGATATGATCTACAGCTCTTCTAATCCATAGTCATTTTGTTGTAATAAATGAAAGAATATTCAAAATGAACAATATGATTAGCATAATGTCTGACCCACAGTGTCTCATCAGAACTCATTTCTTAATAGTAACAGTGAAGATCAGGGTACATGTTATTTCTCCACCAAGAAGAGCCTGTAGAAGAATGCCATGTTTTGTTCAGTAGGAAACCACAAATTCAGACTCCAGTCTTTTGCTTACAAGACCTTACAGCACAGATACAAAAAGTTGGCCTTTCTCCCATGCTTTCTCCAAACAATGAGTATACAGAGTCTCAAAGCTTTTTCTTCATACTTTTTCTCACTCAGGTAAATTAAAAAGCCATAATTATAAAAATATTAAGGCATAAAAGACATGTTTTATGAGTCTCCTACAGATCAGGGATATTTTTAAGCACCAGGTTTTCACAGGTAAGAAAGGGTTGTTGAGAGGTGGAGATTTATATGTCATAGTGGCCAGTGAGTAGGTCACATGCATACACTCTAGAAGGCACTGGCCATCTCAGTCAGGGAGCATTCATGTGAGACCTTCCATTCCAGGTGAAACTTTATTGATTTCCAAGTTGGTTTATGTGTCTGAGAGATGGACTGTCACAAAAGTAGGCACTGAATTGTTCTCCCTCTGGCTTATACAGCTTTATTTGTTCCTTGTTTATAGACCTATTGCTTCCCAATGATGGGTGGGCCGAGAGTGAAGTACCGCCGTCCCCCTCACCACATCCTGCTCTGGAATGGGGCCTTGAAGATTACAGCCACAGGTATCGATAAAATGATATGTCATAAATGTTCCCTGTTAGAGGTTTTCTGGGAAAACTCAGCAACCTTATTTTAACTCCATTTCTTTCCAGAATGGAAATCTCGTAGTCTCCATTTTCCTTTTGGATGAAAGGATTTTCTGGCTAAGAGCTTACATTGTTCTTAATTGACTTCCTGGATTTTTTTACATCAATATTATCTAATTAACGTCACTAAGAAAATAACTGGTGTTTCTTTTCCAAATTTGAAGGCCATAGGAACAGAGCTGAAAGGAGACTTACATAGGAAGGTACAAAATAAAACGCTAGAAAGCATAAAGCTTCAGGTTCTATTTACTTTGTAATTGGGAACCACAAAAGGAATTTTAAAAATAGAAGCTCCAAGAAAGTTAATGGAACCTAAAAATTAAAGCAACACCATATAATCTAAAATATTGGAAAGGGTACCCAATATTATAGCCATTCTATAATAGAAACTAGAAAATCAATAACTTTTAGACTCACACAAGCATGAGAGGGGAAGATTTACTAAGCATACATACTATTTGATTAGGGGAATTCATAGATTGTGTTCTTCTGATGAGCTTTAAAAATCATTAAATTGTCTCTTTGCTATTTTCTGTATTTATTATGGCTGTTAAAAAATGTGTATTTTATTCCATTCTGCTTCCCATGATAATCCTGTAAAATTTCTTCATCTTTCTATTATCAATGCTGGTGTCATTTCTATTATTCTTTTTAATATAATCTTGTAGAAATTAGGTGACTTGAAATGTAGCCAACTCTACCGGAGACAAGCTGCCTATGCGGTACTACCTCTGATTTTTAGTATTTGAAGTCAGTTATTTTCCTCAAAACATTATCATGAGAATCACAATATGCTAACCAGCATTGATGGGGCTTTCGTAGAAGAACATATGGATGTCGTTAGTTTTGTTCATTTATCTGCATTGCCTGTCTTGATCCTGAACCCAAAATGAATTTGATGATGTACAGAAATCTCTCACCCTGACCAAAGGTCAATTCAAAATGGGTCACCTTAATTTAAAGCTTGAGACACTCTGCCTGCTAGAAGAAAGCATGGTAAGCTTACCTGAGCACTTTTTGAACAGGTCTTTAGCAGCACAAAAAAATAGTCCCTAGAATTGACAAGTGGAAATGGACGGAATTAAAGTATCTGCACAGCAAGGGAAACTGTCTTCAGAGAGGAAAGAAAGCCTACAGAATGGGAGAATCTCAGTCAGCTCTGTCCCAGCAGGGCTTTGTATGAAGAAAGCATTGGTATCTAAAATATATAAAGGTCTGCAAAAATTAAGGACAAAAAAAAACAGCTATGTAATCAATAAGTAGGCTAATGAAATGAATAGACAGTACTCAAAAGAAGAAACACTAATGTCTAGTAAATAATTCTTAAATGTTCAATATCCTTAGCAACCAGGAAAATGTAAACTAAAACCTTTTTGAAATTCTATCTCACCTGGGTCATCCTGAGTATTATCAAGAAAATATATGACAGGAAATGATGACAAGGCTGTCGAGGATGAGAGCCCTGTCCACTGCTGGGGGAAATGCAAAACTGTGCAATTATCTGAGCTGCAACAGGGGAAATCCACTGTCCACTACAGTCAGCCACAAGCCATCCAAATGCAGAGTTGGAGCACAGTCCTTAAGGACACATCTACAAAACACTCGTGCACCTGAGGTTCAGGAGACACTGTAGAAGAGGGTGTGGAAGGTTCATATGATTCGGATCAGGGACTTTGATGAGAGATTGTGTCTCTAGTAACATCTAAAGCTACATCTGCAAAGTCTCACCATCATGACTGCCCAAACATGAACTGGAAAAGGGTGACACGAAGGAACATGCCAAAGTGGATGAAGAAAATCCAGAAGGCTTCAACCCTACACAAAGCAGCCGAGGAAAGCTGGGAGTGGGAGAGGCGGCCTTCCCTACTGAAGCGCACACCAACCGGTTGTCCAGTGCCAACTGCTCAGTCCTGAAAACAAACATATGAGAAACATTATATGGACTCCACAGGGGAGATATAGGAATATATATATGTATGTAGATAAATGCACATAAAACTAATTAGTGAAAAAAAAAGAGTTCTTGGATTTGAAAGATGGGGAAAGGGTATATGTAAAGGTCTGGAATGAGAAAAAGAATAGAGAGCAATGTTATAATTAAATTATAATCTCAAAAATTAGGAAAGTACTTTCAAAACATTCATAGAATCACAAATATATGGTAAAATAAAATTAGAACCACCTTATGACCCAGAAAAAAAAACAGTTCTTGCCTTGTACCCAAGGGCTTCTCTCCTGCCACAGAGTCATCCCCAAAGCCATGCTTACTGCTGCACTAAGTACCATGGCAATGGAATATCACCCAGCCTAAATGCCCATCTGCTGGAAAGTGGATAATGAAAATGTCACGTATATGAATATGTATGCATTTTCTCAGCTATTTCAAAGACAAAGATAGGAAACTGCAGGATTATGGGTAGACCCGGAAAGCATATTAAGTGAGGTGACCCAGATGCAGAAAAACAAAACTCACATGTTCTCTCGTGTAATCAGATGTTTAATGTTGTATGTATGTAGGTATTGGATTGTGAGAGTGGGTATCGACTATGAAACCAGATAGGCAACCTAGAGAGGGAACAAGAAGTGTGGAGAAAGGGATGAGGGTACCCAAGGCTACATGTGACACAAAGTCAGGGATGCCATGGGATGACATAGTACAGGGAGTGCAGAGATGAGGAAAAAGCAGGGAAGAGAAATAATAACCCAAAATCTTTTTTGACAAAGGTCATAATAAAACCCAACTCATTTTAGGCTAATTAAAAAAATCCCAAAACTTTTTAAAGCAAATAAAAAGATTCATTTTTCTCTTAAAAAGATAAACACACAACTAATTAGGAAGGAGAGATCAGTGAAGAATGCCCTGGTAACTCAGAAGACTGAACCCCAACTCTGTCTGTAAGATGAAGGAAGGGTTACATCAAAAAAGTGTGATTTCATGGAAAATGAAGGGGCCCACGACACAAGAATGTGGAAGAAGAAAAGTCTTGATGAGAGAGGGAGGAATCCCTTGTTCAGTGTAGCTGAAACTTTGGCATGTGGAGGAAAATCCATGGCAGGTTTCTGCCATGTTCCATGAATATCGTATTTCTCTAGAAAGCAGTGGAGATGCATGGGACAGTTGAATACCAGGGTTGAGAGTGTCAACCCCTGAGTAATTTCAATTGTACATGGGGAAGCCATTGCCAACGAGACTCGTTAGACATGAGCGAAGCAGGGCCTAAAAGAAAGGAGAAATTATATAGGTAGAAGGGACAGAGACATTTCTGAGATGGATAAAATATGTCTTAATGCTTTGCAACTCCTTCCCCTCCTGGGAATCTGTGACCTATACCATCCTACAAGCCATTGTGTTGCCTAGGTGACCAGCAGTAGTGGGATTTGGATGTCTGAGCAGAGAGGAAGAACTGGAAGGGAGCCAGGGAAGTTGAGCAAGGAAGGCTGTCTCCTTGCCCTTCAAGTCAAACATGGGAAGCCCTCTATAGTGGAAATGTGTGCTTTCAGGGCTGGGGTCTCTAAGCAGAAGAGCTCTCTTGTATTAAGGGAAGGGGTCTAAAATTGATCAAATTTCATGCCTATTCTTTGAAGCAACACAAAATCAGAACTTATTTCTGTTATATCAATGATATGCCGGGAGAGAGAAGTTTAGAATTTGTGTGTCTGAATAAAAACAAAATGTATGACAAATATGTTTTTCTTATGAAGTCTCAATGAGTGACTGAAGTCAAACAATAACAAAGTATGTTTAGTATTTGTGCTGCTTAGTTTTTGTCTACTTGACAGTAGCTAGAGTTTTTAGGAAGAGGGACGGTGGTTTGAGAAAATGCCTCCATAAGATTGGCCTATAGGAAGTCTTTAGAGGTATAGTTTCTTGATTAATAATAGATGTGGGGGGGGTCCAGATTACTGGGGATGGTATCACCTCTGCGCTAGCGGTCCTAGGTGCTATAAGAAATCAGAGTGTGAAAGTCCTGGGAGCAAACCAGTGAGTAGCACCCATCCATTGTCTCTGTATCAGTTCCCTGGCTGCTGGACTATCTGCTGTAAGAAGATGAAAAAGACTCTTTCATCCCCGAGTTGTTTTTGGTTACGCTGTTTTACTACAGCAATAGAAACCCTAACTAATTCAATGTTCTTAACAATTTAGAAAACATTGGGTTATTCCTTTATTGTTCATATTTTCTCAGCCATACTTCTTCCCCCCATATGCAAGTCATAGACTACTGATGCTTCAAACACTTTTCTTGGCAGGTCCTTCAAATCTCTCTCCCTGCCTTTTACTTTCGGAGAATTCTCCTTGAACATCTACTCCTGACTCCTCTGTGTTTTTCATATTCCTGGTTTGTCACCATTTTCAGGACAACAGCATATGTTCTTGCTGTCCGTATTTATTCATTATGCAGCAGAATTTGACAAGAGTATCATTTTCTATTTGAGAGATTCCCTGGTTGTTCATGCTGAAAACACGGCCTTTATCTAGGACAAGTCTCTGGCCTGCTGTCAGGTTCCAGCTTTGCACTGCAGCCTACTCAGCCATGAGCACATGCCAACTTCCTTCAAAATTAAAATAGGTCATATTTTATAGTTAATCATTGTGTCACCCTCTCTCCAAATGCTTTCAATGTGTAGCATAAAATTGCAAGTGATTGTACCAGTCTAACTTACGTCCCTAATATATTTCCACATTAACTAATTCAGAACTACACTCACTGTTTCAGCGTGATGTCTGCTGACATCGGCTCTAATCCCATCACGTCTTGGAGTACCCTCACTTCCCTCCTTAACTATCTGCCAATCTGACTTCATCTTTATTTTACATTTCCATTTTGTACTATGGTAAGAGGGATCCTGCTAAATGAGCATTTTCAAACTGTGCATTTGGATACGTTGAAAATGATGTAACAGATGTATACAACATCAGATTAATGGATGTAATCAGACATATGTATCTATGTGCAAATGATTTATAACATTCATATGTGCAGCTTTCATTTATCCTATTTTCCTCAGTCAGATCTTAATATTTTTATAAAAATATATTTGCATTGTTTAAGCAGATTCTACCTTGATTCTGTATCAGATGTCATTCCTACCATATTTGTAGGATGGGAGAGGTAAGAATGATTATTTTCCAAAAGCTTAGAGAATTTGAGCTCTTATTCTTGGCATGTCAAGTATTGCCAAGTCTGAAAAGATGTTCTAAGAGGCTGAAATGGATTAACCAACACCTTCATCATCAGATGGGTAGATTTCCATAGTCATGAATAGAGTTCTTTAAAGGCAGTGAGGCCTTTGTTTTAAAGAGGAGTGTTCATGTTGGTCCTGAAGTCTTCCTTGAAGACTTTCATTACAATAGATAGCATATGCTTCCATTAACTACTTGTTTTTTTCTTACTTCGTCTCATCCACCCCTCGGTTGAAGCAAAGGAAAATCTAAAATGAAAGTGACTCAGGAGACTGAGTTTAAATCTTGAGTTTAAAAGGGAAAGACTTAATTGTGTGTTCCAGCCAGTATCTTAAGCCAAGCTTGTGACTCAGGTTCAGGCTTTTCCCTTGAGCAGCTGTGTGATCTGGGGCCATCAGGCCCCTTCTTTGGGCAGTAGACTCTTACCTAATAGATGCATGAGCTTTAACTCCTTCTGCCTCAAGCCTTTGAATCTGTAAAGATGATGTGTCTCACTGACATTAGACCTGCATCCCCACACATGATAAAAATCATAAGATCTTACGTGCAAATAAAGAATGAGTAGAGACACATGTATCACATGCCTCTGCAGCACCAAAGCCTACGGGGTGCCCGTGATCTCAGTGGTGTCTCTGAATTCTACAAAATTGGGAGGAAAAATGGGGGTGTTTCCATTAGACCACAGAGGCATCAGTAACACTACATAAGCCAAGGACTCTGGAGCACAGTTGGCATACTCTGCCATCGCTAGGTATCACGTCTATAGCATTTGAAGGTTTCCTCTATTGACAATGCAACCAGATACTGAGAAAGAAACACCTGGAATCTTAGTAACCCTGAAGAGTCAATTCAAACTTTCTGCATTGTTTCCATGAAAACAGGTGTAATCTTTGCATTGGAGAGAGCCCTGAGTCCTCATTCCAAAACCACCTTGATTCACAGGGGGAAAAAAAAAGATAATTAGGAATTTATTAATACTAAAATATGATTAACATTGAGTTTTTACCACGCGATGGGCACTATTCTTAGTGTCTTGCATATCTGAATTTATTAATTTATTTAAACCTTACAGAGAAGTTCTATTACTTCACATTGTATAGATGAGGAAACTAAGGCCGAAGGGTGGACAATATGATTACACTCCTTTATATATGAGGGCAGTGAAGTGCAGAGAGATCCAATGTCTTGCCCAAGTCACACAGCAAGCAAGTAGCAGAGCCAGGACGTAAACTGTCCGTTGTGCTCTGTGCCCTGACTCTTGAGGACTGTGGCACCTATTAGGACCCTTTGTGTTTCTACCCACGGCATCATAATAGCGGAGATTCAGTTATTCATTCATCAAGGTTACTATTTAATATTACTGACAGGAAATATTAAATATCAGGGGTAAAAAATTCATTTTTTAAAGAAAGCAATGAAACTTGGGTAGTACATTTAGTTTGAAAGTTAAGATTCTCCTCTACATTTTAGAGGGACCTTCATTCAAGGTTAATGTTGCTTCTGCTGTTTGTCTAAAATCCCAGACTCTTTAAAGGTCACTCTCGGACCTTTCATGTTGTCAAAGAACCCTACTTGTCATCTGACAGAACCATCCTGGAATGAGCAGCATGTATGCGCTTTAAAGGAGAAAGAAAGCCGTTGCAACTTAATTTATACACAGTGTGTCCATACTTATTTCTAAACAAATATAAGCCACTATCTAAAATTTCCTTATATAGTCCTTTCTACTGAATCCCCAATCAAAACAGAGTGTTCAGTAGAAGCAAAATTCTTTAGATTGACCCCAAGTACTAAAAAAATCCATAAAGGGCATTTAATGTGTTTGTGTCCAAGTCGTCAACGGTGCTGTTCCTGTGGCTTCCTTTTGGTTTTGTTGATGGACAGAATATCTACTCAGCATTACCGTTCCTCTTTGAAGATCACCTAAAGAGGTAAAACTCAATCTCCTGCAGCCGTCAGTCATTCAAGGTGGTTTTCTTTAAGGAGATGTCATTTCGCTGCTCTTTAAAAGGGCCCACTTATCCCATAGGAATCTCTTAGCCCACTGTGGGCTTGGCTAATATCTAGCAACATCCTTTGAAGTGCTGGGGCTTCCCAGGCACCCCTCATCCACCTGAAGTTATATAGGATACAGCAGTGTCCCAATTAGCAGAAATGACTGAGGAACAAAAGACGTTATTAGCCCACGTACATTTTAGCAAATTTTTTCTGCAAAATAAAATGTATAGGCCACAATTGTTGCAATTCTATAAAAGAAGTCTGAGAAACAAGAATTGATTTAAAATACATGGCTGCAGGCTGAAAAGAGGGGGTGTATTCAGTGTGAGAACTATATATTCATGTCCATTCATAATCTTCCTCCCTCCTTCCTTATTTTCTTCCCTCCCTCCCTGCCTGCCTGCCTCTTGCTGTAAGCCTAAATATAATATATACCTTCTTTCCACAGCTCTGGAGTGGATTCCACAGTGTATTTTCCAGATCAGCATGTCAATTTCAGATCTGTGACACCAGCCATGCAGCCTGATTCAGTTAACTTGAAAGCCTCCAAGAGCATGGACCTTGGTAAGTGACTGGGACGTGCGTCCAGGTTGCTTTCCCAGGGCACCACCACCAATCTGTCTTTCCAAAAGTCCAGTTTTTGTTCCTTCAACTGCAGAAGCTCAGAAAGGCACTGCTCACGTCTTTGCATTTCCTCCCCACACGCACTGTGATTAGTCTGTTTGTGAAGGAGAGATGCTGGTTTCTATGAAACATTCCACATGATTCTCTCCCTCTGGAGCTCAGGAAAAACCTAATTCAGGAAAACTCGAATGCCACAAAAAATCTTCATCCCTCTTGCCTTTGCTTTGGTTCAGCTCGAGCACACCGTGCCTGGTGGGCCTACCTATGCTCAGCCAGGCAGGTTAGTGAGGTCAAAGGATACTTCCCATTGGTTTCTTCAACCAAATATCCCTAAATCCTATGACGCTAGAGAGGTGAGTTGTCCCTTAGGTGTGTCATACTGAGGGTGTTGAGGTACCCTAGTGTGACACCTAAACAATGTTACTGGCATTCTGAAGATCATAGGCTTCAAGAGGAGCTCCAGGACTCTGGCAACGATTTTGACCAGGAATTGGGGCTGTAAGACTTCTTAGACACTGAGGAACATTATTGCTGCCATCTGGGATCTTAGAAGAAGAGTATAGCATACACTCAAAGCAAAATACTCATTGCATATCAAGAGCTCAGGGGCCAACCTCTGCAATTGTGTTTTCTTGAGGTATGTTATATATTTCATTAATAGTAACAAGGAAGCAGAATCATCCAAATAGCAAGCTCTACCCAATGATCTGATAAATGGTGTTTCTCTCTTGCTCATTTACAGCCGCTCAGAAAAACGTTCAGTCACAATGAAACAAGGGAAATTGATTCTATTTTCTGTAAATTAACTAAGTCGCTGGGAAGCATTTGCTCGAATCACCTATAGTGTGAGACAGAGAGAAAGCTCAGCCAGGAGGCTGCCCCGAGCACTGATCGTAAGGGGGTTTTCTCGAGAGCAAACCCGTGACAAACCGAAGGGCTAATGTACAACAGTGACATCTGTGATTACTAATACGTTAAGGAGCAATTCATTTTCGTGAAGTGCTTGATAAACATTTCCTGTTCTGTCTTCCCAGTTTCTCCATAAATAAGATGAGTGGATAAAAATGACTCTTAATTTTGGGTAGGGAAATATATTGCTGTTTTTCTTCATTTAATTAAAAAAGGCTAGCATTATAATTCTAAAATCTGTGTCAAAGCTGAAAACAGTATATCATCCATTTTAAGAGAGAAAAAACCCTCTGTTTACAAAATTATTAAACCTCAGTCATGTCAAAAGTTTTCTATTAGTTATTTTTTGTAAATGTTATTAATTCTTTGAGACTCTCATAGGCTGTTTTTGATTGTATTTACCCCTTCCCCTAACTTCTTGCAAATCCACCCCCTTCCCTACTTACCCTACTTATTGTACTTTTTTGGTATATCCATCAAATCCATTAGTGCTGTCCACGTATTCTTGAGGCTATGGCTGTCCACTGGAGGGTGTCTGACTTATCAGGGACGACAGCTTTAAAGAAAAGTGAACCTCCCAGTTTCAGTTGCTAAGGTCCGCAGCTAGAGGCAGGACTCCATGCCCACCTCCTCTCTCCATGATGGAATTCGGTCTGGCTTGAGCTTACCCTGGTCCAGTGCATGCTGTCCCTGTTAGCTCACAGCTGACCCTGTTTCCTGCAGTCACCACCATCTGAACGCTGGCTCTGCCTCTCACTGAATGCCCACTTCTACAGCAACCCCCGAGTCTTGGGAAGAGGGTGCAGGATACAGATGTCCCAGTTAGACCTGGGATAGTTTCTCACTCTCTGCTCTTTGCCCAACTGTGGATCTCAGTATTCATCACCATCTACTACAAATAAAGCTTCTCTGATAAGGGTTGAGAAAAGCATTGAGCTAATACTGACTTTTTCTTTTGTTTTTAGAAAATTTTCTCTTTGAAATTGAATTCTTATTTCTAAAATACGTACATTAGTATCCATCCATTGCATTTTATTGTACGCTCTAATGAACAATGACAATAGTAATATTTGTCCAATTTACACAACTATTCATGGCTTATTTTATTTAGGACATAAGCTAAAAGACTTTCTTTAAAACGCACTATAGCAAAGTATTTTAGTTGGATGCTATTAAAACATTTTTACAGCAGTTGTCAAAAGCTGAACCCATTCTGAGAAGCATGAATCTAAGGCTAAGGGAGTTTGGGAGTAAGCAGTATAGAACCATCTTGGTCTTCTTCCCAAGAGAGAAAATGGAGTGAGCTTAATAAATGTGTTGTCCTTCACAGCTAGTAAACCCAATGATGGTCCAGTGCTGAGCATTTGGAAGCATCTCCTCTTTGATTAGAGGAGTAGAGCGATGTATAGTTTAAAGCACCATTGGGAACTCTGAAATACATACTATTATATTATATTATATTTATTATATGTTGTTGATGACAATGTTTAGGGGACTAATTCTCTCAGCAGGAAAAAAAACAACTTCAAAAGTTAAAAGCTAATAATAAACCCTAGGGCTGTAAATGTTCAACTGGTAGAGTGCTTGCCTGGCATGCACAAAGCCCTGGATTTAACCCTCACAAATGAAACCTACAAGATTTAGGCAGAATACTCACATAATATTTTTTAACCTGGAAAAAGCATCAGCCTCACATGGGTAAGAATACAGAGACATAAAAGGATAGGCGTTCATATTTGTTTATTGAGTGATGACTTTGGACTGACCAGTTCTTTGTCAGATCTAAGTGTGCCGGTAGATGATCACAGATGCTTACAATTCCAGCCACTTTGGTGGGTGGCAGTGGAGCTTGACCTAAGGCCAGCCTGGGCTGTGCAGCTGACACCGTCTTTGGAAAAATCTGTAGGAACCATCAGTAACCACATTTCCGTGTTGCTCTTGCTGCCGGGTCGGAAGATGACTTTAACCTGTATATTGAGTCAGTTCACATGTTAGGGTGAACTTTTAAAGGTGAGGAGATTCCAATTACTTCTTTTGACGTGTATTTCCAAAGAAGGGCAAGTCTTATGAAAACTTCAGCCTCTGCTCCCCCATCCCATTCCCCTAATCACTAAGCACACAAGGGTCTTGTACAGAAAAGGCCCTGCCTGTTTGGCTGTCCACACACGTTTATGCCCATGTACCATGGAGTCATTGCACAGCTGTGTCGTACGGAAGGAATGAGTCTCCTGATTTACACTTTACTTTTTGTCTTTCCTATTTAAACGGAACTTGAGTTTGCCTGAAAGTTTTATTTTGTGTATTTTTTTTTGACCAGTTGTATCTTCTTTATCTTGAATTTATTTATTTATCTTTGCCAGTATTTCCATTTGTTATTTTATGCTATTTTCAGAATATTGTTATAATGTTGTAAATCATTACTTGTGTCTTCACTTGATATCCTTTATCATAAAACATGTTTGACGGGACTGACATGAGGTCTTACTGTGAAACCCCGAGGACCTGATTTTAGCTGCTTAGTGCTCATCTCAAACACATGAAAGCCCAAACGTTAGTCACTTCATAATGCCAGAATTCAGGAGGCACACAAGAAGAGCTCTGGGGACGCACTGGCCAGCTAGTGAAGGCAGTGACCTCCAGGTCCAGTGAGAGACCCTGTCTCAAATCTCAGGTGGAAAGCGATTGAGATTGACTCTGAGGTCAACCTCTGGGTCCTTCACAGTTAGGTCCTGATGCCCCTCCCCCCAAAACACCAATAGTTTAGATTTATTATCATATAAACCCATCTTGTCTTCCTTTTGTTTTTGTTTTGTTTGGGACTCTACTGTCTGTTTATCTCTTTTATTTTCTTCCTAAGGCTTTTGGGAAGAAATGATTGATAATATATCTTATTCATAGTATATAAGGTAGAAGAATATGTCTTCAGAAAAAAAATTTATATTTGACTTTTCCATCCTTCCATAATTTGTAATGCAACCTGATTAAATGCTAAATTCCTTTATATTAGTGCCTGGGTTGGGTTATAGACCTGCTCGTTTATTGGTATCTAAATCTGCCCTGCACAAGTTGCTATCCTGTACAAATTTTCATGCTGTTGCTTTGAATTTTAGTGACTTATAGGATAATTCTCCTCTGATTTATTTTTTTAAGTAGAATACTTGTTTTTTTTTTTTCAGTTAAATCACTTTGGTTCTTCAAATGTATTGTCTGTCCCAGGAACATTAGAATCAGATAATCAAAGTGAGTTTAAATACTCAATAGGAATGTTTCCTCAGTGTGCATGTGTGTATGCATGCATGTGTGGACGTGTGCTTGCGTGCATGTTTGTGTGCATGTGCACAACATGCATGTGTGCATGAGTGTGTGTGTGTGTGTGTGTGTGTGTGTGTGTGTGTGTGTGAATGGTATCTATACTTCCTGTGGGTTTCTGATAGAAACACTTTATCAGGTTAGATGGGCTTCTTTGTAGTCCTAGCCTCCTGGATTTTTTTAATTACCCCTTTACTCTTTAAATCAGGAATGGGTATTGAATTTTATTAAGTATTTGTAAGGGTCTATACAGGGGGACAGTATATAATTTTCTTTGCTAATAAACCAGAAATGGATTAGTTAGTAGCTTATACACAATAAATCTCTGATTTTCTTTGAATAAGTGTTTTCTCCGAACTTGTAAATTCTTTTGATTAGCTACTGTTTTATATTTTAAGCTGCTGCAGAGGGTTTCAGTTCCACTCTCTTAAAGCGTAACGCAAAACTGACAGCAATTTTACTTGTTATTCTTGATGTTTATGTAACCACTCTAGATTTCGGGAGGCCATTTTGCTTCAATATTTAGCAGATATTTTTGGAGTTTGCATGTGGTCATGTTTAAGACAGATCATTGATGATTAAAATGATAAGGACAAGAAATTTATTTTTAAGCAATTGGCCATAACTGTGCTTATTCAAGGCCAGGGCCCCATTTAAGTTACTGGGTAGAAACTTCTGGCTTTTCCAGAAAATCAATCTTTCCCTACTAATTGCAGACTTTA